CTGGTAGCATCAAGGATGACCTTGAACTCCTGATTCTCCAGCGCTTCTTTGTGCAGTGCTGAGGCTGGAATCCAGAGCTTTCTGGATGCTAGAGAGGCACTCTGCCAAGCTCCCTTCTGTCTTCAGGCCTCTTTTTATCTGTTTGGGGTGCGGGGGGGGGGGGGTGTTTTTAATTTGAGCTCATTATGTAGCCCAGGCTATCCTAGAATTCAACGTTTTTCTGCTCCAGCCTCCCAGGAAGGTGTTCAGTTCATCACTCCACCCCACCTGGCTTTGTCTTTGAATCTTGGCCTGGTTGCTCCTGGTCTAGAGATACTAGGAAAATTGCTGGTCCCTTTTAAACATTTGTATGGACTGGACCGGCATGCTTCCTCTACAGGGTCCTTGGGGTGTACATAGCATCACAGTCCACTTCTTGCTGTATCTCTGTCCTATTCTGTGCCAGGAATGGGGCCAGGAGTCTTAGCAGGAGCATGGAATTTTATGAAGAATCCTACAGTTGAGTCTCTGGGCTCATACCCACAGAGATACTGTTTACATGGTGTTATATGATGTTTCCTGGGGAGGTAGGAACAAACATATCTTCATCCCAGATAGACCACCCACAGCAGGCCCAGGAAATGATTCCACCCAAGTCTAGCTTATTGAACCAGTAAGTCTATTGGGGTTACATACAGGACATGGATGAGTCAAAGGCAGCTATGTCACAAAAAGTCCTCACCAGCATGGGTGATGACTCAGGAAAGCCGCACCCAGCAACTGTTTCAGGGACTTTCTGAGTCTTGTAAGTTTCAGGATCATCCTGAGCACTATGAGATTTGGGGTTTGGGTAGTTTTTATTTGTTTTGTTTTGGTGAGAGATGGTCTCATTTTATAATCTTGGCTGTCCTGGAATCACTCTTCAGACTAGGCTGGCCTTGAACTCATAGAGATCTACTTGTTTCTGCTTCCTGAGGGCTGGGATTAAAGGCCAGTGACACTATGCCCAAAGCCTCGTGAATATTGTTGGTAGCTTCCTGGATTTTCCAGAGCCTTCCTCCAGAAGGAAATGTTTCTGTTTTAAAACATAGATATGCTGGAGAGAAGGCTTGGTGGTTAAGAGCACTGGCTGCTCTTACAGATGTCCTGAGTTCAATTCCCAGCAACCACATGGTGGCTCACAGCCATCTACAGTGGGATCTGATACCCTCTTCGGGCATAAAGGTATACATGCAGATAGAACACACACACACACACACACACACACACACAAAAAAAAAAAAAAAAAAAAAAAAAAAAAACATAGCTACACAGCATTTGGATGTCTATAGCTCATGCCCTGTCTCCTGTGTCTCCAAGGAGTCCTCCTGGGAGACTGACCCTGCTGGATGGGACCCAGGAACGTGTCATTCAGGCATCTGGATTCAGGATCTTTTTCCAGTTTAAGTCAAGTATTCAGGTTTGACTAATGTGGTAACAGTGGCACGGCACACAGAAAGGTTGAGAGAAGTAGGGATTCACGGGCGAGAGCTCAGTTGTTAAAGTGCTGGCCTGGCATGCACAAAGCACTGGGTCCCATGCCCAGCACTACATAAACCTGATGTACTGGCACAAAGCCTGTCGTCCCAATGGATGGATGGAGGCAGCACAGGCATCTTCAGCCATGTAGCTAGCTTAAAACCAGCCTTGGGATACAAGAGACCTTGAAAACGGTGGGGGTAGTGAGTCACCAGGGAAGATTGCTTGCTGTGCAGGCCTGGTGACCTGAGTTCAGTCATGTAAAGATAGAAGGAGAAAGCCAACTCCACAGAGTTATCCTCTGACCTCCACATCACACACCTGGGCATACACACCCACTCAAATACATCAAGTCCACACATGCCTACATACAATGTCAGGGCTTATAAGATGGCCCAGTAGTTAAGAGCGCATACTGCTCTTGCAAAGGTTCCCAGCACCCATATTGCATGGCTCACAACCATTCATTCCTACGTCTAGTTCCAGAGAAGCAGATGCCTTCTTTTGGGGTCTTCTCAAGGACTAAGTGTGTTCACATGTGCACATGCACACACACAGCACACAATTAAAAATCAAATAAACTCTGGGGCTAGAGAGATGGCTTGGCAGGTAAGAACACTGACTGCGCCAGGCGTTGGTGGTGCACGCCTTTAATCCCAGCACTCGGGAGGCAGAGGCAGG